TTCCCACCCCCAACCCCCTTGGCAACCACAAGTCCGTATTCTATGTCTATGAGTCTATTTCTGTTCTATATTTATGTTTGTTTTGTTTTGTTTTGTTTTTAGATTCCACATATGAGTGATCTCGTATGGTATTTTTCTTTCTCTTTCTGGCTTACTTCACTTAGAATGACATTCTCCAGGAGCATCCATGTTGCTGCAAATGGTGTTATGTTGTTGGTTTTTATGGCTGAGTAGTATTCCATTGTATAAATATACCATATCTTCTTTATCCAGTCACCTGTTGATGGACACTTAGGCTGTCTCCATGTCTTGGCTATTGTAAATAGTGCTGCTATGAACATTGGGGTGCAGGTGTCGTCCTGAAGTAGATTTCCTTCTGGGTACAAGCCCAGGAGTGGGATTCCTGGGTCATATGGTAAGTCTATTCCTAGTCTTTTGAGGAATCTCCATACTGTTTTCCACAGTGGCTGTACCAAACTGCATTCCCACCAGCAATGTAGGAGGGTTCCCTTTTCTCCGCAGCCTCCCCAGCATTTGTCATTTGTGGACTTTTGAATGATGGCCATTCTGATTGGTGTGACCCTTCCTCATGATTTTGTCATGGTCTGTTTTCACCTATCTTCCCGCCTAAACCATGCACCTTCTGAACCAGGGCCATTTTCCATTTCAATGATTTCCAGCTCAGCTTAGAGCCTGGTGCTCTGTAGGTGTGGAACTGACTTGCATCCAGTAGAAGGGCTTGTTGGGGCGGGGTTTGGTGGGGGCGGTGGTGGGGGGGCAGCGGTGATGCGTTTCCACGTCTTGCCACCAGATGGCAGGCACGCACAGCAGCGGGAGTGCAGGCCCAGCCTCCAGGATAAGGTGGGGCTGGGCCCGAGTCCAGACCTCAGGACAGGAGGGACAGGAGGGACAGGAGAAGGCCAGGCAGCCAACTTGGGGCTTAGAGGCATCTCTGCACTTCCCCTGCTGATTGCAGCCTGAGCCCCAGAGCTCCCCTTCCCCCTCCCGTCCTCTCTCCCCGTCCAGGTTCCTGGGTCAATCTGGACTCCCTGCGACTTGGGGCCAGACACCCTTTCTCTCTAAGCCTTAGTTTCCTCATCTCATTTTATGTGCATTTCCCCACCTGGGGACTGGGGACCGTTGGTGTAGGGCTACACTTCCCTTAGCGCCAGCCCTTCCCTGCTCTCAGGGAGGAGGCCTAGGCTGTGTTGAGGCCAAATCATGGCCCCCTGGTGGTAAGCGGCCTCCCCATCAGGCCTCCTGCTCCATCCCTGGGTGGGTGATAGCTCAGGGGCCGGGGCTGCTGGGGCTCGCTGGAGTGGCTGGAGTGGGATGAGCACTCTGGGGGCTGCTGCCGCCACCTGTGCTAAGATACTTGTGGGGCATCAGCTGCGTCTGCTCCCTTCACGAACAGAAGAGCAGTCAGGAATGGAAGGATGGATGAGAGAAATGCACGACTAGCTTCAGAACATTTGAGGCCAAGGGGTTTCCATGCCCACCGCGAGCAGAGCCTAAAGCCTCCTTAAGCATCTTGGAGCTTAGCTTTGAATGGAGTCAGTTGAGGGCCTGTCCCCCTTTTGAATCTCCTTGTCCATTTGGGACTTCCCACTAGTAGTGGCCCTAGAGGACCCTTGGCTCTGGTCTAGGCTGCCCTGGGGACGGGGTGGGGCGTCAGGATTCCACTAACTGTGTGGGTTTGCTTTCTTCCCTGATTGGCTACAGGACCAGCCAGTCCACTTCAGAGGAAGTCACTGGAAGTCAGCCAGAGGGGACCCCGAGGTGCTCCAGTCCAAACCTCAGGGAACTGAGGGCTATGTCATAACCCACAGTCAGACTCCCAACCTGGGTCCAGAACCTGGGTGGCTCCTAAGCTCCCGCCCTCCGCTTATGCCATGCTGCCTCCAGAGAAAGGGTTTCTGGGTGGGCCCGGAAACGAGACGTGTCGTAACAGTGGGTTCTCAGTCCCCAGCTGAGCTCACGGCTTTCTTCCGTCTTGCCTGGCACTGGGGCCCACCTGTAGGGACTTGCCCATAGCTGACCCAGATTTCCAGGCCACTTTGTCAACACCTTCGGGGCAGGGCAAAGCGTGGCTTCTCAGAGGCCCAAACAGAATCCATGACCCACATCAGAGACTCAGCCAGCCGAGGGAGGACACCCATCTGTGCACACGGGACTCAGAGGGCTGCCCGACTTGGGCCCTCCCCACAATGCTGTCCTCGGGGCAGTGAATGAAGAACCCCTGGCAGGTGCCTCTCAGTGGAGGGGGGTTGGGCTGCACACAACAGAGACATTTAGAGGCAGGAAATTTAAGTGCCTGGAAGGAGGGGGCTATGCGTGTGTCTGGGGCCAGTTTCTTCCTTGTGACTCGTCCACAGTCCCTGCTGCCCAGGGCGGACGCAGAGCCCCTGCCCCACTTCTGTTGCAAGCTCCGCCCCCAACCCCAGCACACCCGGTTCTCAGGACGGCTCATCTTGTTGCCACACAACCTAGCAAATTCTGCCCCTGGCTTGGGGCTCCAGTTGCTGGGCCGAGATGCAGCATGAGTCACAGGGCTGTGTCGGAGGAGCTGCCAGAGGCCGTCGGGAGCCCGCAGAGCCGCAGCCCTCGCCCCTCTGTCGGGGCTGCGCCCTCCTTTTCCCTCCCTGGCCTGGCCTCCCCCCGCCCCAGGGGGGCATGACGTCACCCGGCTTCTCCCGGTCCTCCTCTCATGAGCCTGCAGTCCTTCAAACAGCCCTACATGACGAGGGCCAGAAGGTGAGAGCTCACCTGGCCCCAGTGCTCCACATGAAAGAGGGCTGGCCAGGCTCAGGGCTGCTGGGCAGACACCAGGGCATCTGGGCTTCCAGGCTCCTGGCCAGACCTCGGGACGATGGGAGGGAGGCAGAGAGCAGATCTGTTCAGTCCTGCCTCTTTCCAGTGGTTCTCACCTCGGCTGTGATCTGTATGCATGGATCTCATGGCCTAATTCTTCCTGACAGCTCCCCACTGTGCACGCTGGAGTCACCTCTTCCTCACAGGACATGGTCTGGAGGGACTGTCGCTGAGGATCCCCCTCCTACCTCCCCACTGTCTTCTGTCGCCCTCCTGCAGGCTAAGGGACAGGCTCATGGTTCAACTGGACTAGCCAATTACTCCCTGCTGAGACTTGAATTCTGAAGAGAGAGGCAGAGCCACTGGGCATGGGGTGACAGTCCTCTCGAGAGGCTGAGGCAGCTGCTTGGCCCAGCTACGTGAGCTCCAAGGCAGAGCTCCTGCTCCAAAACCCCTAGAACTGCCTTGGCCGTTGGCTGTGCCCAGACCTGGTGTTCCACCCTCCTTTGAATTCAGTCTGTTTGAGTTGTGTGCCCTCAAAATTCATGTGTGGAAGTCCTCATCCTCAGTAACTCAGAATAGAACCTCATTTGGAAGTGGGGTCGTGGCAGGTGTAATTAGTTCAGATGAGGTCATACTGGAGTAGGGTGAGACCCTAGTCCTAACCCGTATGGCGGGCGTCCTTATGAAAAGGGGAAACTTGGAGACAGGTGTGTATACAGTGAGAACACCGTGTCAGCATGAAGATGGCAGCTCCAAGCCGAGGACAAAGGCCTGGAACAGATCTTTCCTCACAGCTCTGAGAAGGAACCAACCTCGTAACACCTTGATCTCAGACTTCTGGCCTCCAGAACTTAAAATGCAAGAAGAAAGAGATATATCAAAGAAGGAATTCTCCTCAAGACTTCAACATAGAGATTCTGCCCGAGTTTCCAGTCTTCCAGCCTGCCTGACAAACTTGGGCCTTGCCAACCCCCAATCATGTAAGATAATTGCTTGAAATAAGTCTTTCTCTCTCTGAGCCTCAGGGTCTCTGTTTCTCTGGAGAACCCTAACACAGCCTCTCACATATCCTTCTAACAAATTAACGTTTGCTTAAGTTAACCTAAGTTTCATTTCTTGCAATCAAAAAACCCTGATACGACAGAATAAAAGAATCTTTCATTTTGGGTGAATTTTAAAATGCAGCTTAATAAAGTGCTCATCAGAAAGGCTAAGAACTTACTCAAGCATGGAAACCAAAGGAGAAACACAGGCCAAAGCTGGCAACATCCCTCCAAATACAGTCCAAGGAAACTCAAGACTGTCTGGTTGGCAAAGCCATGCCCATCAAAGAGATGACTGTGTCAGCTTAAACGGTCTGCTGCCACCAAATGTCTGAGCCGTCCGATTTCCACATTCTGATTCCATTTTCCCCTTAACAGAGGCACTGGGGACTTCATGCAAGCCAAGCACACGCTCTACCACTGAGCTATACCCCCACCCCCGACTCCATTTTCACCGAGCTAACTTCTGCTTCTAGAAAGAAAACTGCACTAACCATGCCTATGCAGAAAGTTGGCCCG